CAACGCACTGTTCAAATATTTTCATAATTCCTTGTACTGCTATGTCTGAGAGCAATTTGCAGCACCAAATGTCATCAAATCATGAAAATATTTCAGTGCAAATATGGGAGGAGTCTGGCAAAACCATCTCCAAAATATAGCTTAAAAATACAGTCAAAAGTTTAGAAATGGCCAGGGAAGGAAGATCTCCCGAGCAAACAGAGATTGATTGATTTATAGCATTTATATAGCCACCCATCTTACAACAACTCTGGGTGGCTTACAATCAATAAAACAATATAAAATTAACAGCAATAAAACTAAAAACTGAAAAACTTGGCACCAGAGCTCCACTTCTCTGAAGTTCCCATATTCTCATTCCACCTGACCTTGCCCTATCCCAACGCCTGGGGGAAGGACCAGGTTTTAAGTGCTCTTCAGGAGGATAGAAGGGTGGGGGCCTGTCGGATCTCAAGGGAGAAGGTGTTCTATAGGGCAGGGGCTGCAATGGAAAAGGCACACTTCTGAGGACCCACAAGATGGCAATGTTTAAGACAAGGGACTTGGAGGGTGGGCTCCCTGTTACCAAGGGACCCCCAGGCCTACCGAAAAAAACAAGTTTTGAGAGATTTCCAGAAAATCACTAGTGCTGGGGCTAATCTCACCTCGGGGAGGGGACAATGTTCCAAAGGGTGGATGCCATGGCAAAAAAGGCTTGCCTCCTGGGTTCCGTCAGATGGAACTCCTTAGCAGACAGTACCTGTAATATGCCTCTCCTGCCAGACTTTTAATCAGTTAGTCATTTTAATCAGTCATTTGGAAGTTGGGCAGCTTAAATAAAATAAAATAAAATAAAATAAAAATCTTCATTCAGGATCCCTTTCCAGTAGCATCTGCTGTAGAATCCCCTGGACTCTTGCATGAACCTGGAGTTCAGTGGAGGTGCTGAGCAAACCTGTTGGTCTGTTTGAACAAGATGCATGCTTTGGAAATAGAAAAGAATTCCTTTCTCTGCTTGAGACCCAGGAGGGATGTCTCCAGGCAGAGGAGATTGAACTGGCCTATATGTTCTCCATGAACACTGTACAGGTAGTCCTCGACTTATGACCATTCGTTTAGTGACCGTTTGAAGTTACAACGGCACTGAAAAAGTGACTTATAACTGGTCCTCACATGTATGACCGTCGCAGCATCTCCGCAGTCACATGTTTGTGATTCAGGTGGTTGGCAACCATCATCCATTTATGACAGTTCCGGTGTCCTGCAGTCACATGTTCACCATTTGTGACCTTCCCAACTGGCTTCCAAAAAGCAAGTAGGGGAGTCAGCAGGAAAGGTCATAAGTTGCGGTCACATGATATCTCACTTAACGACTGCAGTGATTCGCTTAATGACCACAGCAAAAAGGTGGTAAAATTGGGTATGGTCATGTGATGCCTCATTTAATGACCATACTGCTTAATGATGAATTTTCTGGTCCCAATTGCAGTTGTAAGTCGAGGACTGCCTGTAATGATTGGTTCCCAGGCTGATAGATTCAGAAGGCCATTATGAACGCGGGCAGTTGCAAGCTTCTCCATTATGAGTGAAGGGACCCTTTTCTTTGCTGGATAACTGAATGGCTGTTAAAGAGAAAATCAAACCATTTGTACCTTCGTGCACCCCAGGATGTATTGGCTTTAAGTGGGGAATAGCTCAGTTGCTGGAATTCTTGTAGCCCCCCACCCCCCACCCTCCAGATGCTGAAGAGAACTTATGTGAGAATTGGGCTTGGAAAGGATCACTTTTGGTTTCAGCCGTGGCCACCAAACTTGAGCCAAGGTATTGCTAAATTAAATTTCCAGAGCAAAAGTGGACCATAGTAAAATAGAAGACAGGATCCCCAAGCTTATCTTCCACCCTCTAATGTTTGCTGCTGGGAAGAGAAGACTTTGGCCCAGAAGAAAATCATAGAATCGTGGGGTTGGAAGGGACTTCAGAGGTCATCAAGGCCAACCCGCTGCACACTGCAGGATGCGCTTTCTGTTTCTTCCAAAACACCCTGATCAGGTGGGGCAGGGACCAACGAGTGAGATTGTTCAGCGTGTTCAGTAAAAAGCCTTAAGAGCCTTAACTAGGGCTGAAAGTAAAGGGAGAGACTTGAATTATTTGAAATAACAACAGCAACAATTATAATCCAAGAATTATTCCAGGATCTTTTGGATCAATTTGATAAATGCTGTTAACTTGCAATCCATCAGGAATCACTTAATTACCATGCCATTAAATCTAGGGCCATTTTTAAACCACATATGGCTGTTATT